TCCAAATAATTGGGGATGTTTCAAAGGTTGAGAGCTAACAGGCAAGTGCCTCTTTTCTCTTGGCCTGATGTGAACTGCTGTCAGATATCCTGCTGTTAATTAGCAAAGGTCATTTCCCTCAGTTACGGATGCTTCTCTGATAACACGAAGGGAGGGAAAGACTGACCCTATTCAAATGGTCTCTTTTCTTCTCTGTGGTCAACACTAAGGAAAGTTCTAGGTTCAACACTTCCCTGAAAGTAGGCCCTCCCACTGAAATAAGCTTAGCAATGTTAACATCAATTTGAAGAACTGGTAAAGGACATTTCCAGTCTCAACAATGATGATGGGACGTCTTTTTTTATTGCTCCTCCTGGAATCTCTTCATCTATTCAGATGGTGCATTACATGACTTCATCGCTCACAGACTTCCTGGACACTCAGATCAGTTTGCAAATAGAAGGTATGTGTTCAAGAAAATTATCTTAGCAAACTGACATTTTTAAGCACAGCTAAAAAATAAGTGTTCTCTGTTTAGAAAGGTGGCAGAGCGGGGGATAGGTCTGCAGGAAGGACCAATCATCTGTGAAATATATTTAACTTCAGAACGGCCTCATTTTCCAGTGCCATCATAGCATCCTCCCTATGTTCTGCTCACACACCTGTGTCTCCCCTGAGCATCCCGGCCTCCCCTGCTCCCATTCCTTTCCACATGCTCATCTTCCTGCTCAGAACACTCTTTCCTCCTGAGCCTCCAAACACCCTACCAATATCTTCTCTGATAAGAAGATTATTCCCAGGTACCAGAAAATAATTTCAACCATGTTAGATGTGTAGCAGTCACAGGAGTTAGGATACTTAAGTGTCAGTTCAACTGCTGTTTTACTGTAAAGACAGATTACTGGTGAGGAGAGTATGCTTTATAACATTAGTGTGAGTACACAGCCTGAGGCATAACCAGTCCAATCCCATTGCCACCAAGTAAAACATAGGTGGTCCATAAGAAATGTGAGGAAGAAAAAAAAGAGCGAGAGAGAAGGTTTGATATTCATTGGTTTTACTTACCAAATCAATAACGTTTTACATGAGCAAGAAGATCTGTACAATATTCATGTGCCTTATAGAAGTTCAGTACAGGTCAGAGTTAAAATCCATAACCTAAAGCATTTCAAGTCACCATCCACTACTTAGAATTCCAGGAAACAGTCCCTTAGTGGATCATGCACTCCCTTAATGCCAATTCTAGTCCCAACAAGGTAAAGTTATGTATTCTTAGAAATTTCTGCCTACGAAAGAATGGGAATTGGATATATTAACCAAGGCAAACTTAAACTGTTCCACCCTTAAAATAACTGTGTCTATGTGAAGTCAAGGCAGCAATCTGAAATATGAAAAGAAAACACAACTCGGGCACTTTTCTGTTCAATTATAACTTCACCGACACCTTTTCGTGATTTTTAAAAAACAGTTATATTTTCTTCTCCAGATCTGTATGGCATTTCACCCCCATGTTATTGATAACTGAGTATTTATGCCGCATTAGCATGCATGAAGTAAATCTGAGATTGTAGATTTAAAGACAATCATCAATCTCAGGGATTCTTCTGAAATATTACTGTGGATTATTTCTCTCAACTTCATGTGAACTGTTGCCAATTATCTGCTGTTAATTATCCCCTGTCCTCAAGTTGATTCCCTCATAGCGCCTCTGTAGGGCAGAGTAGAACTCCCCAGGGCGGACACTTTACAGAGCAGACAGCTGCCTCCTTCTTCCAATGCTTAGCCCATAGCACCATCAGCATGCCTACTGTTCCCCCAGGTAATGGGCACTGAGATTCATGGGAAATGAGCCTTCAGCAATACAAAGCCATTGACAGAATTGCATCCAGTCTGGTGTTAGTGGTGTTAGGGTGGGTATCTGGGCTTGGCCTTAAGCTTTAGAAGCCTGTGGAAAATCATGAGCATTCAGGGGGTGGGAGGGGTGGGGGGGCTGTTTAAGGCTTCTATTGCATTCAACTGGGTGATGGATACATGGAAGCACATTTGCTTGTTCTAAGATCTTGAGTTTCTTTAAGATCAAGTTCTTGAAATGTAGTAGATGGTATTTTGTTGAAAAGGAAAAAAAAAAAATCAATCAATTTGACTCCAGGGAATGAACAGAGACTCCTTGAGTTCAAGAAAAAAATTAACCTTGTAGGGAAGTCAGGGACTTTGTGGCTGAGAAAGGCATTTCCTAAATCAATGTCATTAAAATGCCTTCTCCCACCTAATCCAACAAGACTAAAGTAATAAGAAAAGAAGTTGATATTTGCAGAAATGAAAATGCAGGAAATGTCAACAGCTGTAACCTGTGTCACTGCATTAGTTGAAACAGTTGCTGTTTGTTGTTGTTGTTGTGAGGTGCTACTAAGTCCTTTCCAACTCATAGCAGCCCTGTGCACCACAGCACGGAACGCTGTCCAATCCTGCACCTTCCTCACAATTGTGCTTATGTTCAGCCCGTTTTCTTGCTACCACTGTCTTTACCAAACATGAGCTCCTTCTTCAGGGTCAGTGACGGGTCTTGCTCAACATGTGCACAGGATGTGCTATGAAGTCTCGCCATCCTGGCCTCTAAGGTGCATTCTGACTGTACTTCTAAGACAGAGGTGTTTGTTCTTTTGGCGGTCTATGTCAGTAGTCGTCACCAGTACCATCAATCAAATACATGGCTTCATTGTCAGTTTTCCTTATTCAATGCCCAACATTCACATGCATATAAGATTATTACAAATACCATGGCTTGGGTCAAATGCACCTTAGTCCTCCAAGAAGCATCCTTGCTTTTCAACACTCTCGTGAGGTCTTGTGCAGCAGATTTACCCAATGCAATGAATGTTTTGGTCTCTTGACTACTTCCAGGAGCATTGATTGTGGAGTTAAGTAAGACAAAATTGTTGACAACTTCAGTCTTTCTTCTTTGTTTATCATGATGTCCAATTATTGGTTCAATTATAAAGCCTGTGGTTTACTTCACCATGAGTTGTAATACATACTTAAGGCTGCAATCCTTAATTTTCATCAGCAAGTGCTTCAAGTCCTTTTCGATATCAGCAAGCAAAATGCAGCAACAATTGGGGCTATTTAAATGCCATCTCCTTAATTCCGCTTAGTCACTGGCCCCTTACAATAGCAGCTCATTTGTTCTCCTGTGCTTTAACTTCAGCCAAGAACTTCACATTTTATGAGCTTTTGTTAGGGAATAGGTATAAATGACAACAATAAGAAATGAAAGGATTTATTTTAAAAGTAAAGTAATAGGTAATCAATCCTATGGGCCAACCATGGAAAAGCAAAATAAAAGTTTTGAAAGTAGTGTGTTACACTGTGCATTAATACACTTGTGACTGTGCTGTCATCTCCAAAATATTTACAATCCTTACAATTAATTGGGTACAAAAGAAGGGTGTAGTGTTACCTCTGGGCATGTTTACATGTTGGCCCCACATTTAAACCTTTCCTGAGAACTGGTCTGCCAGGCCTAGTGCCCTCTTAGTACTTTCCTGTTTCATATAAACCCAGGAATGAATTTGGACATGTGGCTTGCCCGAACATTGTTTGATAGTCTTTTGATGTTTAACACAGACTGTCTCAGGGCTTGGTTGACAACTGAATCTTTATTTAATATGCCTCCTCTAGTTCAGGCCACTTCTCCGGGTAGTGCAGAATTCCCAACTAGAAAACATAATCTTTTCATTTTTCTCATCCGCCTGTCTAATGTGCTTCCATGAAGGCAGCTGGGAAAGGCTAAAGCTGATGCAACTTCAAAATAAAATGTCCCATAAGAAAAGTGGTTTTCATTACAGAAATTTAGGAAGATGGTAGCATCAACAGAACTTGAGAAATCAGAGCTGAGAATAGCTAGTTATCAATCTATCAATTCTATAAGAGTTCAATCCACATATTGATCCCAGGAGATCATTGCTATAGACAACAATAGAGGGGAAACAAGGAGGGAACAATGACCAAAATTGGAAATAACAGTCATGTGCTTTTGATCTAAATTCGTCTCCTCCTAATTCAGAGGAGTAAGGACAGTCAGTAGACCAGTGTGGAAATTCCCATTTTCCAAAGATGCAATTAGAGAAGAAAAGTTAACTATTACTTTTGATGGTGGCTGTATAACCTCAACTTGTAAATACGTAAGCAAAATGCTAAGAAATCTGTGAAGCGGATCTCTCCAGGTGTCTTGAGATTGTGAGAGCCAATGTCTCTGGAGCTCTGAAAGGCTATGTCACAAAAGGAAAAAAAAAAAAGGTACATAGTGCGCAGACCTTTGCGGAATAAATGGATATATTGCCATCTCAGGGAACTTGATAGCTTAGTCTTGTTATAAAACCCAGAGCAGAGAATATACAGTTGG